GAGAATGAGGATTTAAATTCGGTACTTTGTTGAGATTCATTGTGGAGACTTGTGTGTATGTGTGCGCGCGTATATGCTGTATTATAGGTTCTACCTCTCTTTTTTAACTCTCTCTATACCCGGTACACTGGCTCTACTTTGAGATATACGCGTTCGTGAGCTGCCCCTGAATGTAAAAGACACGTCTGATTTGCTTTTTTTCTCTCTCTCTCTCTCTCTCTCTCTCTCTTTCGGGCTTTGCTTCTTTCACTCGTGCTTGGACTTTTTTTTGCGCTACTGCCCTCTCTCTTTCTTGCCATCATAGACGTCCTCGTCCGAGCGTGTAATATATACACGCACGACGTTGTTTATTGCCCGAGAGCCCAAAAGGGATAGACAATCACAACCTGATGCTTGTTGTTATGCGCGTATACGTATGGTAGAATATACGTATGGTCTGTGTGAAATTACGTGAAATTCGAGCGGACATGGTTTCGGACCGCCGCTGCATATTTTATTATTTTATATATGTGTGTGTGCTAAGCGCCATCATGTGTTGAAGAGCACATTGATGAAAAATACAGTACATGTATGCATTTATAGAACCGTATATATAAATTCTCTTCTTTCTCTCTCTCTCTCTCTCTCTCTCTCTCTCTCTCTCGGCGATTCTCTTTTGTATATAATGTATTTTGAATACATATCCAGAGGCTCGAGAGAGTACATCGCGACTCGAGGAGAGCTCCTCTCCGTGAGTGCCGGTATAAGCTTGGCTGTTTTATGTAGAATATATACGTATACGTATGGCTTGTCGATCGATGAATTCACCAGATGTACACACGTACCGGAGGGAGTTTATGTATTCGCGAGAAGCTATAACTTCGCCACATCGATCCGCCAAAGCTCCGCAAACCTTCTCTCTTACATCTCGCGCGCTTCTCGAAAGGAGAAAATTTTCGTTTGCTTCTCGCGCATATTTACTTCGATATTTATATTTTTTTTCATATTTACGAGTGTCCAGCTCTGTTTAAACGCTCAGCCGATCGATCGATCATTCCTTGCGTTAGAGAAAATTTCCGCAAAACACGCGCGCGCCCCGCAACAACGTCAACGTCGTCGTGATCGGAGTCTCGAGCTCGTGCGCAGTCTATGCAATATGCGTGTGTTGGTGTGACGCCAGCAACAGCAGCAGCAGCAGCACCACCGCCGCCGCCGCCACTTTTGCTGCCGCCGTCCGCCGCCGCCGCCGTCTGTATACCCACGCACACACACACACACAGAGTCGCGAACGGGCTGAGCTCGCGCGCTCGTATAGGGCGGTCATTGCACCGTCAAAAGTTCAATGAAATATATTCTACACTCTCGCATGTGATTCATACGTTGATTCGCGCGCAAACAGCAAGCCACCACCACGGCATGGTATCCTCTCCTGCGTTACTATATGTGCCGCGCTGCGTATTTAACTCTGTGTATGCACAAGTGGCCAAATTCTCGGCAGGCATTATAATGTATAAATCATTCAATCAGTCCATCGAAATGATACGCATAATTGTAATGTACACAGAGCACGCGTATATATATATTTTAATCGCGCCTGCATGTGTGTGTGCGCGTAGGGTCATTCGCTCTTTTAGCAGCAGCAGCAGTAATCGCGCATCCGAGCAGTGCACGCAGCATACAAATTTAACGCGGACAATTAAAGCGAGTTTACAAGGACACAAAAGATTACCCTTTGCCTTGGCAACGTGTAGCAGCAACAGCATGTGGATAATATAATATGTTGCTCCGTAATAGAAGCGCGTCACGCGCGGGCTCGGAACTAATCGAGCCCGAGACTTTTTTGCGAGCTTTTTTTGTAGCTTTCCTGCTTTACTCTCTATCTCGTTCTCCTTTGTGCGATGATCTACAAACGCAAACACGGTTCCGCGGAAACAGTGTAATTTATCGATTTGCTTAATTTACGATTGATATGTATATTTGAATTCGGCTATTTTTTGCGCTCGTCCCGTTTGTTTGTCCAAAGCAAAGCATTGCGCGCGCGAGAACAGTTTATCGCTTACAACGCGTACTTTCACACCTCTGCTGCTGCTTTCGCTCTCGTCAGTCGAAAATAATTGTTTACATCTACCAAAGTCGGGGGGGCTTTTTTTATCGGAGAACAAACACGGAAAAAAAGAGCGTTTCTCGCGCAAATGCAGAAAAAAAGTTAAATCTCCGTATAAATTTGCGGGCGCATCGTTCCGTACGAACACGAATATTTTAACTTTGAGACGACGACGACGATGACGACGACGACGAAGAAGAAGCCATGAGCTTTGCCGAATCGCAGCGCCTCCACCGCAAACTCTATGCAGCCAACGCGGCGGTGTGTTTCCGTGTGCTAAAACCTTTTCGCGAATTCTCTTCTCTCTCCGTCCTCCTTGCCTTGTGCAACAGCAGCAGCAGGCGGCGGTGAATTTACCTTCTCTCTCTCTCGTCGCTGCTACTGCTGCTTCGCAAACTTACTCCGTTCGCCGTCGTCGTCGCCATTTCTCGCCAGTCTGGGCTGCTCCCCCTCTCTACCCACCCGGTTGATGTTGGACGGCGACGACGACGACGACGACGCCGCCACTGCTTGTGTGTACTCTCTTACTCCTTTTCTCACTCGTATCTTCGCGCGCGTCTCTGCTGCGTTGTGTGCGTGCCTGTGCAGAAAAGGGCGATTTTAGGCGCGCTCGAGCAAAGGCAAGAGCAAAAAAAAAATTCAACCGAGCGAAAGAGAGAGAGAGAGAGAGAGAAAGAAAGAGACGGGACGTGTAAGTGCAAAAGCAGGCAGACCAGGCAGGCTGCCTGGCTGTTTATACGAGACGGAGAGAACAGTGCGCGTCTCGTCCCCTTCGTCCGTGCATGTATATATGTGTAATATAGCATCTCTATACATTTGTACACCTTACTTTATATACTGACTGCTGTCGCTCTGCGCTCCTCGCAGACTCGGCAGTTATGCCGTGCGTATCTGTGCGTTACAAGTATAATCGGAGCAGCTCCTAAAGTATTTCTGCTGCTGCTGCTGTCGAGATATCGAGTTGAGCGCGCGCCGAGATACCAAGTGCTGCTCCTCGTCTCTTCAGTGTAGCTCTTTCTCTCTCTCCCGCCAGTCAGTGCAAAATTCATCGCGTTCACGTCGCGTCGCGCAAAAAAAAGTCAAGTCGAGTGCAGTGTATGTAATCTCTCGTGTGTGTGTGTGTGCAGTTGTGCAGTTGACGCTGCAGGGGAACAACAACAACAACAACGGCAACAAGATGGTTATGTGTCCGTACCTCGTCGTTCTGACTCGTGCAATTTTCTAAGAGTCTCGACTCTCCTCCTCTCGGAAAAAGCCTCCTCTGCACCACCACCGACAAAAGTGAGCAATATATTTTCCCATAATTCACCGATGCCGGCCGGCGGTATATAGCATATAATCGCTCCGAGCTCCAATGTTGTGATATATACAGTGCATCGTCTTTTCTGTTGTCGTCGTCTCGCGGCTGCGGCGTCTTGGCAGACGCTTCGCGAACACGGCTCGACCCGTGTGCAGTGTGCAAAATAAATATCCGTGTGTGTGTGTGTGCCTGTCTTTGTGAGTTCGTTCGAATTTATATGGCATGCATGCAATGTGAAAAAGAGCAAGAATGAAATTGAAAAAAAAAGAGGCCAAGCTGCCTCGCTATTGTTAGAATCGCTCGCGGCACCAGTAGCAGCAACACAGCGCGCAGCAGTTGCTGCTTCTCTTCGCTTGCTCGCTCGGCTTTCTCTCTTATCGTTGTTGCACTCGTTGCAACTCTCGAGAAGACAGATATTATGTATGTGCGGACGTGTCCCTCATTACGCGGCAGCGGCGGTATTGCTGTGTTGTTGCCGCTCCAGTAGTATGATATAAGGCGGCTGCTGCTGCTGTTGACTTATCGCATCGTGCATATTAATATTTACGTTATTTATTTGTGCGTCGATGAAAGAATAAACAAAGCTCCGACAGCGCGCATATCGCGAAACGTGATTAGAGAGCTGGACAGGGAAAAAGTTTTCGATTCGACACCGAAACAAGTGAGTGCAATAACAGATGGAACGTCGTGCATTATTTTATTCTGCTCCGTCTTTTTCAAATCTTTGCGCTCGACGCGAATGACCACCTGAAATTTGCTGCGCCTGCGACGATGGCCTTCTCGGTCTAACCCGTCGCGTCTTGATCGGCTTTTATTTTTTTTTCTTCATTTTTCGTTTCCCTTGTTTCTTCTCCTCTATACAGCTCCGTGAGAAATGTACAGCGCACGACGTTAGCCATAGTTGTTGGTCTTATCGACAGGTTATAAAACTCCAAGCCATAGGAGAATAGTTTGTGAAAATAATATAACCCCGGCTGAGCTGCATTCATTGTCGCTTATACTTTACAAACTTTACAAACCGCATTTAATAAAGAATCAAAATTCAGTGAACTCGAGATTAGGCTTTTGTGCGTGCGTGTTTTTATCGAAGCGTGTGCGAGTGCGCATTTAATCAGATGACGTCGGATGTTGTGTGCAGTGACGATACGTACGGTGATGACGATGATAATAATGCCGGCATCGTCGTCCCCGCTGCCGCGACCGGCGCCGTCGACGAGCTCCAGCAGCAGCAACAGCCCTACGGTCGGCTGTCGTACTCGCTGCTCGTCGTCGTGACCGACGACAAAAACGGCGCCGCTGGCGGCAGAAACGACAGCGGCTACTCGAACATGGTCAACAGTAACGAAAATAATTGCGCGACGCTCACCGAGTCGACCGAAGAGTCGTCCTCCTCGACCCCGTCGTCGTCCGCTTCCTCGTCCGGTCAGCCGCCTTTCCCGAGCTCCCTCAGCTTTTTCCTCCTGCCCAATTGTAAACCGCTCGTCTTTCTACTCATATTATACGATATGTTAATTTAGCTCATACATTATAATACAGTTGCTCATCTTTTTTCCGCGACGAGCTTTTGAAAATGTTGTCTCTCTAACCGGCCCTCGTATTCGATCTTAATTTTTGCAGATATGGCAGAGGGGAACGGGGAAATAAAAGGTGAGGACAACAAATCCAAGGAGGAGATGGATTACGTTGAGCGCACCGAAGATCACTCCAAGCTCATACAGTATGGCCTCAACGAGAAGGTCGCCGGTAAGCTCGACGAGATCTACAAGACCGGGAAACTCGCCCACGTCGATCTTGATGAGCGAGCACTGGACGCGCTCAAAGAATTCCCGGTCGAAGGTGCCCTCAACGTGCTCACCCAATTCCTCGAGTCCAATCTCGAGCATGTGTCCAACAAGTCGGCGTATCTCTGCGGCGTCATGAAGACCTACAGACAAAAGAGCCGCGCCGGACAGAGTACAGGTAGTACCAACACGACGCCCAAAGCACCCGATGAGGATAAAATCAAGGTGAGCCCGTGTACACACACACGCACATTTATAAATATACACAGGCACCTCCTTCTTCTCCTTTTGCTTCGTGCTCGGCTCTTCTCTTTTGCTTTTCCCTTCTTTTCAGATAAAACTCGTTTCGTCTAGCTCTCGTTTGCATCTCTCGTTTTCATTCTCTTCTAACGAACATGTATTTTTTTTCTCTTTCCCTAGCTCATACTGGAAAGAACAGGCTATCCACTGGATGTCACCACTGGTCAAAGGAAGTATGGAGGTCCGCCACCAAATTGGGAAGGCCCCATTCCTGGCATCGGATGTGAAGTAAGCGTCATTTTCGAGCAACGAGCTATGTAGCTCATTTTTCCATGCTCGTGTAATTCAACTCGTTCTATAATCAAATTTGTGTTTTTTTTCTTTCTCTCTCTCTCTCTCGCCAAGGTTTTTTGCGGTAAGATCCCCAAAGACATGTACGAGGATGAGCTGATACCTTTGTTCGAAAAGTGCGGCAAAATCTGGGATCTCAGGTTAATGATGGATCCCATGACGGGCACAAATAGAGGATACGCCTTTATCACATTTACAAATAGGGAAGCAGCGCAGCAAGCTGTCAGAGAGGTATGCCAGACTCCTTACAAAGTCTTACGTGACTGTCCTCCTGGTACATTTACAATCTAATATTTTCTCATTCTCCCCCATTAGTTGACTACCACGTCACCATAAATTCATTGAATCAATATTTTTAATTTTTATTTTTTTTATTTCAAACTTACAAAATTTTTATTGCTATCAACAAATTGCGCTAAATCAAAATGTTTAACTCGCTATTTTAATTTGCATAAAGTATTTGCGTTGTTTCTTATAATTTGCAGTTTTGCATTTTGAAATTGTGTTGTTTATCGTTAAGCATTTTAATTGAGTGTCGATATATTTACATGTGGCTTGTTCCGTGCTCATCCTATATTTATTTTTGTAGATACTTCTAGTTTTTTTTATCAGTTATTACCAAATCAAGTTTAAAAATAGTCGTCATATCGATGTTTTAATTTTGATCACAGTCCACGAACAATCCACATAAATAATAGTTTTAATTTAAATTTATGCCTCACTGACCATTTTTATTCATAGTTCAAAATACATACGCATACTGACATTCAACTTGTATCCCGAAACAAACATGTATATGTTGTGTGACGGAGACACGAGCAAGGCGATTATAACAGAATGCTACGGATGAGTTTCTTTTCCAGCTCTCCTCTTTGCTCAGTGGGCAAAATTGGGAGTGGAGAACCTTCCTGAAAAAAACATATACAGCCAATCAGTAGAATATTACATGAATTTCTTTAATTGGTCAAACGCGAATATTTCGTACATAGGTTTTGCATTTAAGTAAATCGCGATTATTTTTTTAGCAAAATTCGACGAGACAAAACTGGTTATCTAGTCACTTCTTAGCTGGAGTGCACTAGCCATTGCTTCAACGCAAAAATACGCGCCGGTCTAGTTATTGTGTCAAGGTTTTCGAACAACAAAATACAATTTATAATGGAAATCCACGCAGCACCATGCTGTAAAATCGGTCAAAAAATGTTTTATTCAGTTTATTTTATTTTTATTATAATATTGCTTTTATAGTAAATACGTAATATTTTTCATGCTTCATAAAATTTCTACGATTCAAATCGGTCATTTATTTTTTCTTTTCTTTTTTTTCTAATTATTATTCAAAATTATAATTATATTTATTTCTTGTGACAAACTTATTTAAATAAAATGAGGCATGTATGTGTTTTTTCTTAATCCCACAGCTCGATAATTACGAAATAAAACCCGGCAAGAGTCTGAAAGTTAACATTAGTGTTCCTAATCTACGACTTTTCGTGGGGAACATACCAAAGTCAAAAGGCAAAGAGGAGATCTTGGACGAGTTTGGTAAATTAACAGGTAAAGTGAATTCGAGGCGTGTGTTTACCTATACCTACAACCTACCTATACCTGCCTCTTCTTACTATGTACTAAAGTAAAAATTAAGAGAGTGGTCGCTTTATAAGTAGAATTTGTCTGCATCATTGCTGCAAAATATTTTTGCCATGTATTATTTCATCATTAGTTATCTGAAGTATCAAAAATCTATGAGATAATTGATCATCAACACAAAAAATCTTTTAAGATCAAAATGTATTTCGAGTTGATCGATCTTTAAAGATATTCGTTTGCATGATAATCTCATCAGCTTTATTGATAAAATTTTAAATTGAATAAATGCATACTGTTGGTCAGTCTCCTTGCCTCTCGGTTTGTTAGTGAACAGTAAAACACCTCTCTGGTCCACATCTTTCATTCCTCTTTATTGAAGGTTTAGTTATGAATTCAACGAGCAAATTTGTATTTGTTAAGACATGTTTTATAGTATCAAAATGCACTTGAATATGAATATAATAATAGCATAATTGATCGTTTTCATAAATTGATATTCATATGAGCATTTCATTGTAAAAAAGTATGCATTGATTAATTATTTTTTTCCAAATATTTCATAGAGTTCTATAACTTTTGAAACTTGAAATTGAAGTACTGTAATATGAAACATTACATTCATTTGTAATGCTTTTCTTTTTCTTTCTGCTCTCCTCTGCATATTATTTAGAATTACATCGTAAATATATTTATTTGTCACTCAATTTCTTCTTTCTGATAGCCTACAGTCTACTATTTTCTCTCTCACTTCTCTCTGCTTACTTGAACTACTTCAAATTTTGAAAGTTTCTATACTTATTTTCAGAATAAAAGTAAGTAATTTTTATATGATTTAATAAGAGTTTTGTGGATTGTTAGGCTAAACTGAAAAGGAGTAATAAAAGTGACAAAGCCAATCAATTCCGATTTCTGTTATGAGTGAGAGCAAGAGCGTAAAGTCTTTCAATGAGATAATTTAGTAAGGTCATGGGGTTTGAAAAATATTCGGGATCAGGAATAAATCATAAAAATGCGTATGCATAATAAAAATATAAGCCGTTAATCAGTCTCGCATTTAATATCGAAATTTAATTTAAATCATGACTTGAACTTAATAACATGGGGCCCTGGGAGATATGTAAGGACCTATTGGGGCGTCAGTATTTCGCTAAAAAACAGACAGGCACTCCTTACTTACCTAATATATTTCCTTCATGATTCAATTGTGCAAACCTATTTTCCTAAATCATAATCATTTGCTATCCCAAAGTTTTAAATCCTCATTCGAGTCCTCGAAGATCACTTGTCCTAGTTTTAAAAATTGGAATACGAAAAATTGACCGATACAAATATTTCGAAAGCACAACAGATACACAAATTTACATATTACCAATCTTATCTATTATTTGCCCCTTGCATTTAATTACGGTCAGTCACAGCCAATATAAGCAAAAATTAATTATCACAGGCAAGCTTAATTGGCAATCTCCTTCCACATTATTCTTACAGCTAAATGATTATGAGATTCGAAAAGGGAAAAAGATTGGTGTTACCATATCTTATAACAATCACCGCTTGTTTGTGGGAAATATTCCAAAGAATCGAGACCGAGATGACTTGTTTGAAGAATTTACAAAACATGCACGTAAGTTAAAAATTGCCCTAAAAATCAGCTGGAAGAACAAAAGTTATTTTTATTTTCCTGTTCATTTTTTCATTTTTTGTTCATTTGGTTCATTTGAAGAGCAATTGAGTGCAACTAAATGATTGTATAAATGATTTTATGGTTGAGACAAAAAAGTTTTCTTTAAAAAATTGATACAACTTCAAAAAGATTAGGCATTCTTAACTTGAGAATGATTCTTATAATAACTCATAACGTATGAATCAGATTAACTTTTCTTTGCGGTGATGAAGCACTAACAAATGAAAATTATCTCTCTGTCTGCGATAAATACGAATTAACGTGAGGACGATTCAGTTTAAAAACTTGATTGTCTATCTGATATCTCAATTTGTATTGTTGAGACGATCACATCAACAGTTAAATAGATGAGCAAGAGTAACATGATCGACTTTCTGCATGCACAAAAATCCACAGTCTGGATACAGAGAGGCAGAATACTTGATTATCTCAAGCACGTAATTTAATTGGCAGATGCCGTAGCCCAACGAGTAGCCCAACTAAAATTAACAAAATTTTTGATATATGTCATTAATGTTTTATAAATACCCTGAATCCCTTGCACCGAACTCATAACTTCCAACAATTATAGCTAAATATACTATCTTTACTTTTCTATATTTTTCTTTACTTCAGAAAATATTTGCATGTCTTCATTGAATACAAATAACGTTTTATCAACTAAAACAAAAGGTTACGGATGTTTTAACTATTCTCTAACTTGATCTTAATACTTTATTTACCAAGTGCTCAATTTGAAAATTCTGTAAAATTTAAGAAAATAATGCTGGTGTGGTCAGCACATTCATTAGTTGTATCAGTTGAGTGTGTTTTCTGCTTTTAAAATTATTGTTTCATTCTTAGTTATGTTTTTATTCAAGTGTATAATTTATCTGAGTGTTTTCAAGTGGTGAAAGGTTTTAAAACATTACGTTTTTCTCTCTTACTTTAAATTCAATTCATCATTAGTAGGATTTGTGAATTCAATTTGAGTGGGGCTTGTAAACTGAGAGGAAGGAAAGCAAAACCATGTAACTTTAGAGATTACAAATGGTGCAACGAAAACAAAATTTATTTGAGTTATTAAAACCAAGAAATATTCTCTCTTCATATTTCATTTCTTTTATTCAGATTATTTTTAAAGCAAAAGAGAGAAAAACTATTTTAAAAACTATTAAGTTAAATTAGTTCACAAATGAATAATTCGTTTTTTCATTCATTATTTCATCAGTCTTTCCAAAATAAATTAAAAGAATGTGCTTTAATCAAAAATTATTGAAAACATATCAGTACATTTTTATGATTATTTTAAAATAAATTTCATTTGGTCTTATTTATTTATTAAATTGATTTATTTTCTCGTTTGCTTTTAAATTATCGTTTCAACTTTTTTTCATAATCAAGTTTCAATACTCCGATAAAAGAATATCTTAATAATCAATGTCAATTCCTTGATTTAGCCGGTTTGACGGAGGTCATTATCTACAGTTCACCAGATGACAAGAAAAAAAACAGAGGCTTTTGCTTTCTGGAATACGAGTCTCACAAAGCAGCTTCGCTGGCTAAAAGAAGGCTCGGTACCGGCCGCATGAAGGTTTGGGGCTGTGACATCATAGTCGACTGGGCTGATCCTCAAGAAGAACCAGACGAACAAACTATGTCAAAAGTGAGAGGATTTTTGGAAAATATTTAAAATGTTTGTAAAAAATATTATTCTACATTAATATTTATCTACGTGATTTTTTTTCTAGGTACGAGTGTTATATGTGAGAAATTTAACGCAAGATTGTTCCGAGGAAAAACTAAAAGAATGCTTCGAACAACATGGCAAAATCGAAAGGGTGAAAAAGATCAAGGATTATGCTTTTATACACTTTGAAGATAGAGATTGTGCTGTTAAGGTACATAACGAACACATTTCAGATAAAACGAGTACTCAAGGAAGAAAAAAAATAAAATTTTAACTTTAAATCATAATTTTTTAGGCGATGCGAGAGTTAAATAACAAAGAAATGGGCGGTTCTCACATAGAAGTATCGCTAGCAAAACCTCCATCCGACAAAAAGAAAAAAGAAGAAATGCTGCGTGCGCGAGAGCGTAGAATGATGCAAATGATGCAGATGATGCAAAACCGTGGAGGGTACGAAAATGCCTTGTACGACTCTCTTTTTATTCTCTTAATTATTTTTGTGCAGTTGTAATTTGTTTTTTAATTCACTGAAATCTCATGAAATGTAAGTAAAGGCAATTAAGTCTAGATCTAAAAATTTCTTACATGTTTCAAATGATGATCTATTAATTGTCAACAATTATTGCCTACAAAACAGATTTCATGATGAAAAAGTAAATGAACTGTACAAAAAATAGCATTTGTGAATGTAATAACTCAATGGCGATTAATGTTATTACAGAGGATCTCCTTCGCATCCGGGTTTAATTGCTGGTCCAATGCCTGTGCGTGGACCTGGACAGGGCCCTCGAGGCACTGGCGCAGGTATGCGTGGACTGTCGCGGACCGACACTTACGGTAAGTCCAACCAACTGAGTTTTATTGTATTACTCGTTTTTATTTCAAAATTATTATTCGGTTATTACATTTTGATTACGAAATTAACGTTTATTTCTATAATTACAATTTTTTCAAATTCTTTCTTTATATTCAAGGTGTTTTTTTTTCAATGTTTTTTGATCATTACTTTATTGCATCATGATTATATTTTAAAGTTTCATTATTTTCCAAGTTTTGTAATGATCTATACCTTGAAAGCAATGCAATATTAACGGGAAAGAAAATTTTTGCAAATCTTTATTCAAATGGAACTATGATCTTAAATGATATACAGAATCGATGACAGCGATTTCGCTACTAATATTTTCTAAAATCTCCGCTTGAACCGTTGATGTTCAAATTCATTCTCTAATGTAACATATTTCCATGCATGCTTTTGATTATAATCTCTACCTTAAAAAACCACTACTTGCTTGCGCGCATGAAAATAAAGATAGCCAATAAATAAAATAATGGTGAAGGTTAATTGTATAATAAAATATTCGCATCCCCAAAATCTCCTCGAATATGTGGGTTTTTTGTTTGTTAAAATATAAAATAATTTATCGATTTTTAATTTATGAGATTGAGTAACTGAAATTATTGTACCGGTTTTTATGCACAAATTTGTTTACTTGTATATCAATCATCAAAATACAATGATAATATCAGTTGATATTTTCACTCTAAAATGTATATAAATTCATATAGATCGCACTGAACCGTCCCTTATCACTTTCATTCAGTCCCGTTGTAAAATCTTCCATTGCTTATTTTCTTTTTTATCGTTTTGCATGGTTAATTTGGTTATTATTATTTAAGTATAAATACATATGAATAGTATATGTTGTTAATAAATCTACAATACGAGGTTGAACAATTTTTATGGTTGGTGGTAATTATATAATTCAAGTGAGCAATTTTGTATTGGGTGTAAGGTCACAATTGGTTGTCAAGTTTTGTGTGACGAACATATTGAAATATTAAGTTTTGTTTTTTCGTTTTACGAGAGTGTGAATCTTTGAAAAAATCAACAGTATGAACGTATTATGAATCGAAATAATTTTTTTCCAGCTCACAAGGACGTAAGTAAGCCGCGAGTCTCGTTAAAATTGGTAATTGCGCCGCTGATTCGAATACTCGTAGTTTGTTTAATTTTCTTTTTTTTGATAATCTCATTTGGCATTATCAATTTTTTATCCGGAGATGCGTGCCAACTTTCAATTGTAAACACCAGCATAGTTAGCTGCAAGTTTGGCTCAATTTACGTTGAAGATGTGCTATTGAAAGTTGGTACACGTTTCGGAAATGCGACGGTGGCAGTATAAATGATTTTATTTTTTAATAATTCATTTATTTAATAAGATGATATGATTCTTCAAACCAACCAATGTTATTTACAGCATTTACAATTCTTCAATTTTGACAAATCGTCGATATTTCAATCAAGATTTAATTCTCTCTTTTGTCGTTTCATCTTCTTCTTTTATATGATACCTAATCTTCGATAATTGTTTCATTTACAAATAATTGACCCAATTACTGTTTGTTCAGTTTATACGAATTTCAGTAAGATATTCAAATCCTAATTAATGTTTTAATTTCATGGTTCATATTCAAATATTTCATTATTTTCTCCCCCCCTTATCGTCGACATTTAAAACAATCGTTTTTACGTTTTTTACTGTTAGAAAAATTTACAAATAAATAAAATTTATATAAAAAAAGGCACACGTAAGTGATGCAATAATGATGAAAAGGTTATCAAAATTTTGGGTCTATTTTTAATGTGTATTTTTATAGATTATGATTACGAGTATTACGGTTACGGCGATTATCGAGGTGCCTACAATGATCCATATTACGATGACTATTATCGATACGAGGATTACTATTTTGATTACGCGCCGCCTCCACCGCCTGCCAGAGGGAGAGGCAGGCAGCCTCAACCGGTGGGTCGCCCTTTTTTAATCGTTTTTAAAACGTTCATTTATTTATTTTATTTATTTACTTTTCTTAAGAACATTTTTTCATTTTTAATTTATCATTATTGTATTTTATTATGTAATAATAAAAATAATTTTGTAATGATAACGATACCCTATTAATGTTGTGATGATCATTACAATAAATTATTTTATTATTACGTTATTATTATTGCTAAATGTTAAATATTTGGTAAGAAATTGGTAGTTTGATTGTGGCACAGTGTTCGCGGATACCCTTCAGTTATTTATTTCAATATTTATAATATTTATTTTTTAATTTACGTTATATTATTTTTCATCTTCGTCGACGTCTCGTTGTTAGCACACAAATTACAAATCATTCGTGCAAAACACTCTTGTTGTTACACTTTTCTAATCATCCATGCCACACATTCCAAAAACATTCCTTAAAGCAGTTCTTGTCGCTATATGTATTTGATGTATAGGATATTGCTTCATTTTGTTTGTTACATTTTTTTCAATTTTCATGTTTTATAGATGTGTAGATTGATTTGATATTAATCATTAAGTACGTTCATAGATAATTTTAGTATATTGAAAATATATCTCTGTACTGAAAATTAACAATGAAATAAGATATTTGATTTCATATGAGTTTACTTTTGAATATTATAGTAGAATTTAACTTCAACTAAATTTGTTTTTACAGAACTTTTAATTTTAGAATGCTAAAATCCAAACTAACTTCATTAATTAACCATCATATATACACTTCACTGAATATTTGAAGTATATGGTATCCTTTGTTAGTGTATGTGTACTTTAGAATTTTCATAATTCAAGATGTGCACTGCATGAAGCACAAATTTGATTTTGTCAGCGAAAAAGAGATCAGCTCTTTTTGAGTGTCCTGAAGCACAAAGAAATAAAAGTATGTATTCAAATGTACATTGTAACATATTTAATCGTGCAAAGTACCGGCGAAGCCTTCGGTAAAAGGATAATCATTACATATTTTGAGTGAAAATTAATAATAGCCGTAAATAATGAAAAACATCGTTAACCTTTTACTAATAGACTAATCCCAATGAGCCGAACACGTTGCCACTACCAAATTACTTGAATTTTAAATTATAACATTAAAATCATGTCTGAGCCACGGTAGACTCTCTATAAAAAAAAAGAAATTTATAATTCACAAAAATTGGCGAAATCCCCAGCATCCCATAGCGGAAATATCGAATTCGAAATAAAAGATTTTTACAATTCAAGAGAAAATTCATGACATTTGGACTGTGTGTACTATACTTCAATAATCGTTGTTACCAAGCAGGAGAAACATATAAATCTATTCATGTGTAAATATAATTATTCATATGCTTGATGTGTATCATACTCATATATGAATCAATTTTACTATCAGTTTCAAATATTCTCATATTTATTCACTTTGGTCATTGATGAAATTTGTAATTTCAGTTATGTACTGCTGGCATGGTGAACAGATAATCGTCAATACTTGAGTTAGTATAAGAAAACTAATAATTGTTATTTACAGCAAATATTTTTTCGATTGTCTCTTGGCTCGGATATGATGTAAACTTTCTCACTACCTCTCGTTTGGCATATAGAGTCGTCAATGCATAATTGATAAATCACGATTAATTAATCACATCGGAATTGGCAAATTGATGAAAACGGTGATCAACTTTTTCTCTCGAGCAATTTTTTCGCCTTCTTTCTTTCTTATTTTCAGGTTTCGAAATCTCAAATTCATCTTTCAGTACTGAATTTTATTTTAATTGATTGACTTCTTTTTTTCAGTTTTTTTCACGTTAAAATAAACGTTTTATAACATTTATTTATTTATTTTTGTTACTCTTAACAGCATTTAGCAAGGAAGCCTGGATGATGGTTCGGGAGGAAAAGTTGGTCGTCGTTGGCAGTGGTCGACGAAATTTCTCTAATTTTGTCAGAATGTGTATCACAAGCATAAATAGTAATTACAATGATAAACCTCTCACGAGGATTCATGAGAGAAGCTTACATTGTCTAAGAGAGTGAAATTGCCGTACATGAGTGTGAGATTATTGCGCTGAAATATTTATGATTCTAGGATTGCATCGGTAATGAAAGACTGTATCAGCAGAAATAAATTTGTCTATCGATGCTTTCCAACGAAATCGCTTGGGAATACGCTTACGCTTATATTTTTATTTGTTTATGATTTTGCGCCGCTTTTTTATCGCATATTATTATTCGCTTTTTGTACGCTTATCACACTTTTTTTTTAACAATTATTTAACCGATTTTACTGCCAGTGAAAGAACTTATCATTCGTTGGAAAAACTCGGGCTCAGTGTATAATAATTATAAATTAATCGTCGCTGTAGCTTTTAATTTAATTGCACACAAGCTTGCTTTTGCTTATTATTTTTTTTTTATTGCCGTACACCTTGACAATTTTGCTTGAATAATATCGCTTAAAGCAGGTGAACGCTTTCTGCTTTTACCCCTGCTTTGTTCTAATGAACCTTAAATCCAGCTTATGAAATACAGTTTTTTACGTTTAATGCTTGTTTTTCGCTTGTAAAAATAATAGAACCACAAGTACATGCGTACTTTGTTATATCACGTGGATGCAATGCGTGTTTTACTGCACATATTGCATCTCCACATATTCCTTGATGCACAACCCTTAATTTCTTATTAACCTGTGAAACTGTCAAAACCAGTTTGTACATGTTCATTCATTTTGAGCTGGTCGAGTTAAAATTCGCAAGTCTAAATTCATTAAAATTTTATTTAAAAAGTTAAGAACTTAAAATTTTAACATTAAAAATCAAATTCGGGATACACCGCGAGTAATTTTAATTTAATTAGCATAATTATTATTTAATTTATTTACATTGAAAGCATAGAGAATTCAAAATTAATTTTTTATTCCAAATTCTAAATTAAACTACGGCTTTTACTTATTCTTTTAAAGTAATTCTGTATGCTTTCAAAACAATAAATCAGTTGAATGACCAAGTGTTATTGGATTGTACTTCGATTCTATTAATTTGACTGACTTATTGTTCAAATAATGTATTTTTAGATTTTAAGCATCCTTCACAATTTACAATGTATCCAAATGAAAGACATAGCGTGCCTGTTAAAAAAAATGTATAACGATTTCTAAAAAAGAAAGAGCATGTATGTCAGATACATATCCCATATCCTTGAAATATCCTGCAAAAAAGTATGTTTTTCTTTCTGTGGCATAACCGTTATGTGGTTGTTGTTGTTTTCGCTGTTTCTCAACGGACAGGCTGGACGTGGCCGTGGAGTGGCGGCGGCGGCACGTGGCCGGGTCGGTGGCCCCCAAGCACGTGGGCCAGTTCGGGGGGTGCGCAACCCCGCAGCTTCAGGGGCCCGTGGGGACCAACGGCCAACCGCTCGTGGGGGGGTGGTCCGCGCCAAGGGAAGTTTACCAGGTGAGGATGGTCTGTATCTAAGGAACAAACTTGAACGTTCCATTTTCTATACTCTTTTCTCATATCTCATTCATTCATCTTTTTTCATAACTTTCTGATTAGTCGTTGTTATATTATAAATACTCTTAAATACTACTATTTTGCTGTTTCAATTCCTTTTAACTTATTTGAACGTATTTTTTTTAAACGTGAAAAAATAAAAAAATAATAATAATTATCGATAATGTTCGGCAATGATTATCCATGGTGTGCATTACGTTTTTTTACTCAAAGATGCTCTTTTTTGTTCATTTTTAAGTGAGAGAATGTGTGGGCCTCCGACGTTTCAAGGAGCTCGTTTTGTCGTGAAGCAAAAAACGATCTCGTTGCAAACGAAGCGAGGGATGTAAATATAAAACCGAGAGAGATAACAAAGGAAAATGTACATACTGAGCGTATTAAAGGTACTTTGCATTACATTTTACTACTAGATGTTTTTGAATATGAAAAAATATTTCACGTGCATATAGACTATATAAACGTATTGTAGCACTCTTGCTCGTATCAATTTTCACCATAGTTATCTTGAGTATTTTACTTTTATTACAAACCCGCAATTGTGCAAGACAAAATACACTCACTCTCACACATGATTGTTTAGAGCACGATTGTTAAACTTAGATGTGAACCTTTTTTTATATCGTATGCATGTTTCATTAGTAATGAAATATGTACGCTTGATTAAATGCCCAGCTAGTTGATATTATAGTTTTTTGTATTTTGTCTCGCACCTACATTCTCAGCCAAATAAAAAAACGTAGATCGCACTCCAAATGAGTATCATCATAATTTATTAAAAAACAATATTGAAAACAATATAATAGTATCCATAATTGCTTCACGTGAAACCAATATATACTTGTTTAATTAAAACATTTATTGATACTACTAGATTGTTGTTTTCGGTGCAAAAAAAAAAAATCGTTGCTAGAATGTAGCACGTTTTTTTACTCTTATCACGTCATGATAACACGAACTAAACTGAAATGAAAAATCGACATCATTAGAATAATATTTATTAATTTAATGTTTTTTGTTTTATAATTAATAATTGTCGCACTCCTCTCGTAGATCCGTAGATTGGCATTGGCTTGCGCGCTTCTTGCCATTGCAATAAGCTTCTACTCATCCTCGATCCTCAACAACTCCTTGTCCAAGTACAAAAAATATAAAAAAAATTCACACACTCGATCCTCTGCGCTATATCACGACGACCACCGACGAAGTGTCTTCTGCTGAGAGCGAGAAAGAACATCCATCGAAGCGTTTGCTGAATCTCGACTCTCACAATTATATATGCACTTTGTTTTATCTTTCTTTCGATTTTTTTTAGTTAATCAATCCTTGTTGCTTGGGACATATATTTTATTCAGCGAATATATTAGATGATATTACTCGCGATATGTATGCTAAAGTTCATTATTCGTTTTTATTTGAATTTATCTCGCGCATTCTGTGTACGAAATCGTACATTTTCTTTATTCATAGGCGAACGATGTACATGCGTTTTATAATTCATTCATCACCGATATAGAGTAACAGTTTTTACGTATTTTAATTATTGAAAAATAATGTCAATTTGAACGTTTATTTATTTGTTGAACTTGTTACTCTGTATCCGAAGCTTTAAGTTCTTAAGTTGTTTAGTCTTCAAGTGCAGAACTTGTATGTACAATTATAATTTTAGTAGCTCTGCAATCGAGTTAACTTAATTTTATCATTTTTCCAATTACTAGTAATGGATTTTTATTGAGATTTGAAATATGGTGTTGAATCCCTAAATTATAATTATTTAACATTGTAGTATCTATAAAAAAGCAGGCCTTAGCGAGTTAAACATGAAATTTTGATTAATGTCGTATGGAAATGAAAAAAAAAAATTAGAATTCGCAGTGTCGTTCATTGATTAACTTGTAATTTCATTCTAGCGTATTGAGAGCAAGAATTGTATTATAAAAACGTGTTACATACTATTATTATTATACTTATTATATTTACTATTACTATTATACCTAGTATGATTTTCAATAAAAATATTAACTTGATTTCTTTTTAGTTCATCTTTATTTTCTTTTTTCTGCGAAGAAAAATTTTATTTTTACTCTAATTTTTCATTTCTATTTCTTCGCAATTCTCTATATTCGAGGTTTTTCCTCAATTTTCACTGTGTGCCACTTTAATAAAAGTAATCAAATATTTATTATTTAGTATTTGGTCTTTGATTGTCACTATGCAAGTTCTACTCGACATGAAAAATTAATAGCTGACGATTGATTAAAAAAAAGTGAAAAAAAAGTCGAGTAGAGCTTTGACAAATTGAAGAATTGAAATAATGTAAAAATTAAAAAAAAAATTCGTCGTTACGACGGCAAAAAAAGCTTGACTGACATCGGTATTTTGTGTGTCCTCCTTTTTGCTGGCTCGATGATCTTCTTGGACTCAGCAGCAGGTAAGCGAAAGTTTGACGGGGGTCACCAGAACCAGGGGGAATCTAAACGTCGCTTCCAGAGCAGCTGGGGGAACCAGCCCCTTGCCCAGCAACCATTGGGCAACGCGTACGCAATGGCGGTGAACGGCGGCGGAGGCGGCGGCGGCGGTCCGGTTAACGAACGTGGCGGCGGCAGCACAGACGACGAGTGGTACCAGGACTCGTATCAGTCCTGGAGCTAACTTGCTTCCAATACTCCCAGCAACAGTAATAATAAAAGTACCGATGGTCCAGTCGTGGAGCAGTAGCAGCCACCACTACCAGACAGAGATCGAACCAGATCGTTATCATCACCATTTACAATATCAGCAGCATCACCATTACTACTACTACTTCAACTACTATTACTATTACCGTCAGCATTATTATGTAATCGCCATCATCAACTTCATCGTCATGTTCATGTTCATCAGCATCAACTTATTACAAAGACTAGCAGCATCTCCACCACTACCACCACCACTTTTCTACAACCGGATCCGTACGTTAATTGTTGTTGCAACTGTAATATTACTTTGCCGCGACGCTCTCCGGCGACGTTGTCCTGTCCTCCCGGCGAGACGATTATTATTCGCCGCGAAGCTCAACTCGAAAGAGGCGTTACTGTTTATATTCGATTCGTCAAGGCAGCTCGCGAAAGTCGGATAGAGAAAGAAGAGTCTCGCTCGGGACGATCGGCCCGCGCCCGATTTAACCGGAGATTTGCGCGCGCGCGCCAAGTGCAAGAGTGATGATAATTTTTAAGGCGATGCAAGTGCAAATGCGTGTGCGTGTGAAAAGAAGTTGTGCGAGTGAGATCGTGCGTGAGTAGTTCGCTACGCGAGAACTAGTGCGAGTCTTCGTTTTATATTACATATATTACATATACATATAGAGCAAAGAGAGAATGTGCAAAATGATGAAAAAAAAAGATACGCGCGAGTAATTTGTTGTTTTTGTATATCAAAGATATGTGGTGCGATTGAGCGTATGCGTGCGTGACATGTATGAAAGGTTTTTTTTAATTTGAAAACACACGTTGATGTTGCTGAGCGAAAGAGAAGTTATAGTTCTTTAGGCGAAGGGAGAAACAAATGGGAGGGAGAGAGAGAAAGAGAGTAAATTTAAAGAAAACACAAAGATAACAAATGAAGTATGAAAACAATTAATAGCAGAGTTTTATATGAGAAAATATAATAGTAGTATGACGCCACCACCTTCGCCCCACTGTTGTTGTGATTTTTTTTTTCGGTGAAAAAATTATGTACAGTGATATTAGCCACTGGGACTATTATTGCGATCGCAGTGACCGCTGACCCCGTACTAATTAATATATATTTACACACGATATATCATATATATATTTAACAAATTTATTAAGTATATATATATGAAAAACCACAAACTGCATTGTCACGTTCGTTTGAAAAATACTGCCGAGCAAAGATGTACACGGTTCGTATACAAAGGGATTGATAATACAGAATATATTAACAGAGAGAAATAATAATAAATAATAACTGAAAAGCGCGACACGCTGACGATTTTTTTCCAGAATGATATAATATATTTTTTGTGAAGACTCGTTACAGTTGTATTACAGAAATATGATAATCGTTTAATAACGCGGCAGCAAAGTTAATCATAACTCGTTTCAAAGCACACGCGCGCGCGAAACAGTTAATTAATAGACGACAAGCATAACAAAACAAAACAAAAAAAAAATAATAAGATAAGCGGTCATCGCTTGAACAATTTTTCAGAAAATTCGTGCAACAAGAAGTACTAGTACAAGCGGTCGTACCTGAAAGATGAATTATTATTACTACATCACTTACGCGTTTTTTACAAACACATTATTATTCGGAAACTTTCAATTTTAGCTTATGCTTTTGTTTTGAAAAAATATTTTCTATTCTATGAAAAATCACTTTAAGAGAAAAATCGCTCGCGCGTAGTTGTGTATAGTAAATTCACGTATAAACGAAGACGCGAGTGCAAGATTAATATTCCATAATCTATCTATATCAATATAAAACAGAAACGAGCAGAGTGTAATAAAAAAAGCAAGGCAGACAGTTTTGATAAACGGAGCGAGATAAAGCAGGAATGGATGTAAACGCGCGGAAATAATGCCAGACGATTTTCTCGAGTGTCCCCTCGTTCCCCCAGCGGGAGATTCGTGGAAATCAAAGTGTCGTAGGAGAATTTACGGGGTTGAGCAAGGATTATAAGTTCCATCTTTTTCTTTTGTTTACGTTTACTTCAAAAGAAATTATTTTCTGCTTCTAACACATAATGTAAACATCAATTCTGAAAAACCGATAAATTAATTGCCAAAAAATTAGTTGTATTAAGTGGATTTTGTTCAATGCAATAACTCTGGGTGAACGAAAATGACCAAACCTCATTTGCAAATCACACGAATTTATGATCTCTCAGCCTAGTTTAATTTTCCTCTCAACACGTGTAAGTTTCTGCGCGATAAATGCAAGTTTTTGGCGATAGGTTCGACATTTAGGGCGCGAATATAAATATATATTTACGTTTTATTACGAAAGATTAAAAAATTACAGAGCAAGAGAACTCTAAGTTCGAAAAATATAATGAAAAATAAATAGATGTTCGGAAAAAGCGTTTAGTGCGGTCAATGATTGACAAAATATAATGATAAGAAAATAAAACCGAGTGACACTTTAAAATGTGTTCATCTCGTATGTGTAATAACGTATGCGTGAAGCGCGCCAAGCGCGGTTTAGACCTTCTATTGTTGGTCTATAAATGTGTACAGTCAGTGAAACTATTATTATTAAGGGTCAGACGATTATAAAGTATAGAAAAAAAGCGCGATAAAGTTTTTGTGCGTTTAAATAAGAGAAATAAAAAAAATATAGAGTCGTGCGGTCGGGATAAAAGAGCGGATCTATCGAAAACGATATAAGAGTAATGATATTAGAGCGATATGACCGAGCGTGCGACGCTCGAATCGAGTTTTAGTCGTCTCTGCGAACGGTGTCTCCGCGGGGTTCGTTCGATGGTGTTTGTTCATAGATGTTTTTTTTTTCATTTTTTTTTTATTTTATGAAAAAAAAATTGTATAGGACTGAATAGAATGAAGGAATATAGTACGGCATTGAAGGAAGCTCCGCAAAGACACGACGCCTTTGCTGGAGACCCAGAGATCGGATACGGTTTGTTGTTTTTCTTAGTTGGCTTGGAAAGAGGTACGACTTAATATGAGAGAGGCGGAAAGGCGGAAAACCCACTTGTACAGTAAAAACAAACCTTTTTTCATTCCAAATGAAAAAAGTTATGAGAAAAAGACTCAAATCGAAAAACGGCACGCAGCACCCAAGTTATGGAAAAAATTTGTTTTTCAAAATTATTGATTTTTGATATTTAGTATTTTAAAAGAAAGTATATATTCATATTACATTTTTGGCATTTTCGCGTACGAATGAATGTTAATTTTTCAATTGTTGATGAAAAAAAATTCTCTGAACGCGTTTCTTTCGGTAGAAAACACGGCCAAGAAGAGTTTGTTTAGAAAAGATTCGCGATAGATTGGCTCAGGCATCAGTATGATGGAAGTAACAAACAATAAGATAGAGACAGAAGCAGACTTGACGGACGGTGCGCCATCGAGTTTCTATAAAAATTTGATAGTGGCATCAAAAGAATTCATTTTACATCGGTTTGAGCAACAAAAATTGAAATAAACAAAAAGTTTTGGCAAATAAAAATTTCAAATTTCGGCAATGCTTTACATGTAAAATATGACTCGAAGAGAATAACAAAAAAAAAAGTACTTCTCTGGACAAAAAAGACAAAAAAAGTAGTTATTTCGATGCACACCTCTACACAGTAGGCGAGAAGAAGTATACAATTGTAAGAGAGAACGGAAAGCGCGAGAAGGACAATTACGGAGCGATTAATACGGAATAATAAATCAATTAGATAATAGGCGATAAAAGACAGGACTTTATTAACAAGAACAATAACAAATCATACCAAGTCGATTAATTATGATTTTCAGAATGATAAAGAAACACGCCATACGCAAACTTCTTTTCCAGATTCGTTTCGCTGATCGGAAAAATAATTTGGTCTTATCAGAAAACAGTTTACTCAATGCAGTTGATCTCTCTCGATTTGCCACGGGATAGTTCGTTGTTTCAGGCTGTAATTTTTTGCCACTTATTATTTTGAAGAATTAACGTCGCTCATAGTAAATGATATTTCGACTTCAATATTATAGAAAATTGCTTATTTGGAATAAGGTATAAACACTTAAAACGGTTAAATATGCTAAAATTTTTAAATATTTTTGAATTTATCTTTATCAAAATATAATTTTTCTTTCATTTACATAAAATCATCGCAAGCATACAAAAATAGAAGTAATTTTTTTATACAGATCAAAATTCATTTCAAATTGAGATACCTTACTTCATGTAGCATTCTGTTTATAGACTTTCAAACATTAATAAAAATTCAGATTTGCAACAATTCGCGACTTGACAATTTGATAAGCAAATGAAAGAATAAAAATGAGCGAGTGAGCAGCAGTACGTAAATTCGTTTGATGAAGACAAAATAATGACGCGAACCATACAGAATGATCGTGAAAATAATTAATCTAGCAAGAAGGAAAAAATATCGCAAAAAAGCATGTTAACACCCAATACACACTCACATGTACACAGCCAATTTTTTTAGTGTTGAGACTCGTTGTTATTGTTAGCCTGTTAGTTAATTAGTAAGAGTTGTAAGTGCGGGCTGTAGTTGGTCCCTTGTCCCTGGAGAGCCTAGACGCGCCCTCCCCCTGTTCTGGAGATTATCTGCGTTTACTGAAGCTTCAATGTTTTTTATTATTATTACAATTTTTCAGTTAATTTGATTTTTTTATAAATTTTTTCAAAACATGATAATTGATTAAATTTTTAGAAAGCATGTTACAATGTTAATGATCTTGGTTATTGATGATAATAATAATGAAAATGTTAACACTTACCGTGGTTATATACAATTAAAAGCAACAATAAGATATGGAAAATAAAGTAAACAAAAAGACACGATATAGGCGTGAACTTTCATTTTGCATACTAAATTTTCTTTTCTGTTACAATTTGGATTAAAAAACTGAAGTGATGAGAAACTACCGCATAATTAATTGAACAATAGATTATAACAGTTGAAGAAATTTACGCGATCATAATATTAAACCGACCTTTAACAAAATAATACAAAACCATCACCGACAGCACACTCAATAGGCATAAAATAGGAAAGATTTACTGGATACCCCCCGGAAAACAATTCATTTAATTGATAATAAACAGCAACTTACAGGATAGTTAGAAATATTTACTTGCAGAATCACTTGGTAAACAAAAAAAATGATAAAAAAAATAAATAAGATGAAACCCCCCTCACCCCACCTTCTTAGTATTTGCATGCACACAGTTTTTTCTCAGCATTATCGAAAGAGAATAAAAACAAAACGAATACATTATCATGAGTAAACGATGATGATTTTTCTACATCAAGCGCATATGTCAGCTAAAGATGCAGCAAAAATAAAAATAAAAAGCTAAAAGCACGAGACATTACGATTTAAAACGAGATTGTCGAGTAATCGAGGAAAAAGGAATCGAGACCATTAAAATGTGGAGACATGAACGACTAAAGTCGGTAAAAACTAAGCAAAATATAAACGAACATGCGATGTTTATGAATTAAAATAAAAAATCTTAAAAATGTTGAACATTGAAAAGGGGAACACGCAAGAGTCGTGGTTTTTTAGAAAATAAAAATTGACAAGATGAAGAAATGCGAAATGTAAAGATCGGAGAAAACGACCTTAAAGTGTCTTGACACGCAAAGATCGCTGTTGCTCGCGAAGCCTCTTTAATTATTTATGAGCATATTTTGTTAATCTTTATTCACGTTTTTTGTACTAGGACTAATATTATTTCTTCCCTCGCGAACGTCGAGCGTGCGAGTTATATGTTCATTTTTAATTTTTCTATTAATAAAAGTAAATTTAATGAAAAAAAGCAACAAAAAAAGGAAGAATAAGGATTCACGCGTGCTCGACGGTCGCGTAGCTAGGTAATCGCATTCTAGTAGTTTTTAATGATGTTTAAAAAGTTATATCGAGATCCCCCAATCTCCCTTTTTCTTTTTTTAAGATATAATCGATACATCGACACTCGAACGGCCGAAACATCGAAAGAGCAGGCAAAAAAAAGTTAAAATAAAACATTGTGGAAACGACGATGAATTCGAATTGATTGTAACGCTAAAGCTTAAAGTTTATAATAGGCAATAGACATAACAAAATAATAACAAAAAATTATGGTATAAACATTTATTAAGTCAATATTAAGCAGTTAAAATCGATTTTTCGAAAAGGGAAAGAGGAAGCGTACAGAGGGAAACGGGAAAACTAAACGCGGAGAACATTGTTGAGCGTGTAAAAGATTCATGTTATATGAGAAGGAGAGTGAAATGGGAAATTTCTGACCCAGCCCACACATCATCAAAACAGAATAAAAAATTCTGATAGCAAAATTTCTTATTAGACTTTAAAAACAATATAATTACTGAAAATATATGGCTACTGAAAATAGGCGTGACATTTTTTTTTACGTTTTTTTGGACAATCGAAATGATTTATTCCCATCTCATCTCTTTCAATATATAATCTGTAAATTTTCAGTTAACATTCATCCAGTCCTTCCTGAATTTCCTTAACTCCTTCCAATCTTACATTGTTCCGCCTACAAGAATAAGAGGAGAAAAAATTCCCTAATCCCTTTATTATCCTATTTATATAAAAGCATAATATTCGAGGATATGTAATATTAATATTAACACAATACAATAAGGATGAATATTCGCTAATATCATACTGAGTGGGTTTTTGTGAAATGATAATATTCCAATATTAAAAAAAAATATTTAAAAAAATTCTGGTCTTTGTCCGAGATTGAGAGATGAAAAGGCGCAAGAGTGACAGATGAAAATGAGAATAGTCGGGAGAAACATCGGAGCGGAAAAATAAAAAATGGTAGTAATTCTTTCATTGAAATTACGCGTACATTCGACTACGAATGTAATTATGTATGCAAAATCATTTTTGAGCTAAATTAACATGTAATAATTGTAACGAAAAAATTAACTTTCGAAATTTAAGATGTATTGATATTGATATGAATAAGGCAAAAAAAAATTTTAAAATTAAAAATTTAATAACGGTGTGTGTCGATGCTGCGATAAGACAAAGCGATGACGTTAGTTAAGTGGAACAGAAGCGCGTGAGAACGAGAAAGAAAGAAAGAAAGGCAGAAAGAAAGGCAGAACGAAAGAAAGAACGAAAGAAAGGAAGAAAGAAAGAGAGTGAGAAAGAAAGAAAGATTGCAATTGGAGCGAGAAAATTTGGGAAAGAGCGTGCGAGAGTGCTTTTTCGATAAAAGTAAAGAAAATTTGCATCAAGAGAAACAAAATTTTTTTGTACATCAAAATCGTTTGAAATTTTTATATGATTCTATTGATTAATTCTAAATTAAGATACCGTTTTTTTCAAAAAGAAACGTACTACTTGTGATTGGCGAAATGTGATTTCGTGACTTTTGTAAAATTGCGCTCAAAATTTTTTTTTGAGAAAAAAAGCAGAAAGCGTCTAAAAAGTTATTTATATATTTATTATTATACTATTGGTTATTAATCGTTATGAAATAAAAGTTGCAAAAAAAGAGAGAAATTATGAGAAATTCTGACTCAATGTATACTGTACTGGTTATAAAAAAAATGAAGTGAAGTTTAGTAAAAAAAAAGCGTGAGAGATAGAGAGAAAGAGCAAGAGAGATTGCAGAGTGAGAATGGTTATTTGTTTTTAAGATCGGAAAAAGGTAGGAAGAAAGAATGAGAATGAGCTTGCGGGAGGGGCAAAGATATAAAAAAAGAGCAGAGCAGTGCATCGCGCGCGTTGATGAATGATTCGTCGCTTTTCGATATCTTTTTACGCAAACCACCGAATTGAAAAATAAAAAGAGGAAAAGAAAAATACAAAACGCAGAACATCACGTTTTTTCTTCTCATGATTGACGATGATAAATTCCATCGCACGCGGGTATTGCGCCTGGCGATGGCGGAGGCAGTTCACGGTGACACGAGACTTTAGACTGAATCATTATATAAGTACTAGCGTCAAACGTTAATCGTGTTTTGTCATATAAAAAATGAAAAAGAATCTACGAAACGAAAAAGAGAAAAAAGAAATAAGCGAATATATGTTGTGAACGATCGGCCCGCATGCGCGATCTCGAGCTATAAACCCGATTATATTATTATAAGGCTCCTTTCATTCCCCCCTCGAGCGCCCCTCGGAGAAAGCGAGCCGCTCCTCTCGTATCTATACACATATATACATATATTTATTTTCACATGCATATATATATATGTGCGTATAATTAGGGAAAATTCAAATTTTCATCTTGCTAATCACGTCCGGGTCTCCCCCCTTATTAATTGTTCTTGTTGTGCGCGCGTCAGAACGCGCCCTATATTGACCCTGTTTATATTATTATTATTATTATATTATTATTATTACTTATTATTAATTATATAATTATTATTATAATATTATTATATATTGTTTGTATTTGCGCATGTGCGAAAAAGATGGCAAAGAAAATTATTTCTGTATAAATATTAGAGAGCGGGGAGGCTCGTCGCGCGGAGCGGTTATGTGATGTGACAATCGGATCGAACAATAAGTTTCACACGACTTTTGTCTCTATCAGCGAATTGTAAAAAAGCGTCGCTCGTTTTTTTGTTAGTTTGTTTTCAGCCGAGGGCCGCTTGGCGATGGGATATAAAAGGTAGCCGCCGCGTACGTTTGTTTGTTAAATAATAATCGAACATATAATTAATTGAGAAAAAAAATACTAAGAAATTTGATGATTAAGCTATCAGCACGCCTCAGCCTGCTCTGATGAGCGTGACGCGGGTTACACTTTTTCTTTATCTAGTTGTCCTCTTTTTTTATAATATGTTCTTTCTTTTTTAGGAATTGTATAAAATATTTAAAAAAAAAATGTCTAATAATAAAAAGTTGTGTAATGGTATACGCAGGCACTGTGCGCTGGCTAAGCCGTTGGCCCATTGAATTTGTTTGTTTGCCCCGCGATTAATTTCACGCGAACTGCGACACACAAGCACAAATAATCAGTTTACATGAATCGTATGGAAAGGCATATTCGGGATATTTTATATTGTATAAATTTCATGGTACCGTACTGGCAAAACAAAATCATGAATGTGGAAAAAAATTTATTTCATTATTTTTTTGTTTTAATTTTTGTAAAAAAAAATTACTCTCAGTTTGCGAAAATTATACGCGAGATATTCGAGAAAAGCGAAAAGACACGATTGGTATTTGAAAAAAACCTCTCCTTTTTTGTAAGTAAGCGCTCTAAGCGCGCAATTGGTTTTTATATGAAATGAAAAAAAAGAAAATTAAAAAAAATATTTGCCGTGGGCCCGTTGACACGAAATGTATTAACGTTGATATTTTTTAGCATGCGAAGGCGTGCGTTTTTTTTAATTATATATAAATATATTATATATATTATATTCCTGCGGATATGCATTTTTTGTGAAGTGATATGTTATTATTTAGCAGTATATAATTAGTGATGATTTATACGAGAGAGCGAGCGAGAGTTTAGAATGGCAGTGTGAGAGAGAGTAAGCATGAATGAATCGACAAATAATATTGAATAATTAAAAAAAACAATTACACCGATTGGAATTTTAGGTAAAACGATACAAAAATTCTAAGTATTCTGTAATTTAACGGAGGTTTTACTTTAAATTGAATCTATAGACGTCAGAAAAAAAATTATGTGCGATTATAATTATTATTGTAAATTTTTTGTACTATCATTTGCGGCTTCGATCCATTAAGATGAAATGAGATAAAAAATGTTATATCGACAGGTATCACAGCAAAATATGTAGGCACGTTATATTATATATATAAAGGAATTCGACGAAAATAGTGTAATATCGAAAAATTATAGATATAAAATTACTATCTGCAAAAAAAATTATATTTAAAACCGATGTTTCATAAATAACCATGTGTAATCGAGAGACGTTCCGCGCCACGCTCCGTGTCAGCTCCACAGATTTTGAATAAATGCAAAAAGCGAGAGAGGAGAGAGAGAACAATAATTTAGGAACAAGAAGGTTATACAGAGTTAGGAATGATTTTCAAGAAGAAAGAAAGTTCGTGTGAAAGAGACAGCGAAATTTTCTTCTTTTTTCCATATCGCAAACTAACAGCAGTATATGACAGATTCTTTTTAACTCCATTTATACAAGAAAAAAAAGAAAGTATGAAAGAAAAGCAAGGATAACTTATTTTGACAAGTCGTAGGACGCAATAGTATACATAAATCAGTAAGATATAAGTAAAAAAAATATATATGTATATTTGTATATATATGGACTCATATACTTCTGTATATGTTTATTATATGTATACGTATATGTATATATACACACACAGAAGAAATCCGTATTTAAATGGACATTTTTCAAATGTAACAACCATACAGAAGTATTTTTTCAGTACCTATTTTTACTACATATGTCATCAGATTTTCCTTTTTTCATCATTCGGCAATAGTTTTTCGTAATCATAAAATTTTTAGCTCATACTGCATTTGACATTGAATTATATCCGTTGCTTTGCTTTGCTTTCGTTTTCTTTTTTTTTAAAAACACTTTTTCCGCAATTCAGAAAAAGTTACTCACCCCCGCCCCCTTTAATTTTAGTGTGAACGTAGTTAAACATTATAATAATAAACAATAAATTTGATGGAAAAACAGCGTTGAAGTATATGGTTCCTTTTCGAGCTAGGAGCTTGATTTCAAGTGTCAAAGATTTTGTGTATGACCAGATGTATTCTACATGTCTCAATAAACAGTTGTATGTGAATTACCTTTCTTAATAAATACGTCTCTATTTTACAAAACCCTTCCTTAACTCCAATGAAATTGTAATAAAAGTTAAATAAATAAAGAGAATTAAAATATCTACATCTGATTGTTTACTTCATTTTTTGCAAGCATTTTCAATATTATTATTATCTAATTTAAAGCAAATGGAACAAATGCCATAATTACTACATTGTTTGAAGGATCAATAGTTTCGACAGTAGGTATTACTTACGGAAAATCATAAAACTTTTCATTGATAAAATAGTTTAAGTAGTTTAATAAAAATAAAAGATTATGTGGTCATAATGTTCAATTATATAAAAAGACGATGCCAATAAATTAAAACAGACCTTATTCTTGAAAATTCAAATTTAATTTTTTTAATAATTATGTGAGAATATTGATAACATGAAAAATTTTCCAATGTCAACATGATATATTTTTGAACATGATGTGAGTAACATTTCGACAGATTAAAGAAGAACAATGTTTCATTTTCGAAACGTAATTTTTTAATTATTTTTCATTAAAGCTTCACTTCGAAAGTTTTTTAAAAAACTATTTCTAGCCTCTGAAAAATGTGATAGTTGGTCTCGAAAGTTCTAAAAAACTTTTGAAACATGTATGCCAATAAAAAAACTATTTGACCACGCGGAAAAAATTATTTGACCATTTAAGTTACAGAGACTTGACGCGAGTATATGAATTTCTTTGCGGTGCAGTAATTGTACTTCAGTTCATAGTTGATCAGAGTCGAACGGTAATTATATAATACAATTTTTTTCATTTCATTGGATACATTATGCATCAGGTAAACTGAATTTTCACTACTTTGAAAGCTTTTGTATCGATCTTTAATGTTATTTTGCATGTACGGGAAACATATGAAGAGATAAGTGTGAACATATCGATAGGAAGTAGGTCGTTGAGAAATATTGTTTATATTTTAGTTAATGTAAAAACGGTAAATAGAAGGTTTTTCACTATCTTAACAAAATTAATAAAAGTTTGAAATTTTCTATTATTTTCGATGAATTTTATGCGGCTCCTTTGCTATAATCGTATATTATCATAGTGTGCCCGTTGAGATTATTGTGGTAATTCAAATGATTTGTGAAAAATATCACACTAAAAAGGATTGCTTTGATTAACTACTGCATCTATGTGCCTTTTGAAATTTTTCTGGTATCCAAACGAATTCCGACAAATATCAGTCAAATAAATTGCTTCGATCATGTACTTCATACATGTGATTTTTGAGTGTATCCTTACGACTATATGACTTGTGACAAATCCCACACTCAAAGGGTTTGCTAAGATAATGTACTGCATTTAAGAGAAATTTAAACGGATTCTTGCGACCATATGATTTGTGACAAATTTCACATTCGAAGGGTTGGCTCCGATTATGTACTGTATTTATGTGAGATCGAAGATGATGTTTTAGTCCAAATAACTTTTGACAAATCTCACATTCGAACGATTTGCTACGATCGTGTACTATCGTTATGTGTTTATTGAGGTCATTTTTGTATCCAAATGTTTTGCGACAAATGTCCCATTCGAAGGGTTCGCTTCGATTATGTACAATATTTATGTGAGTTTTGAGGTTACCTTTTAGTCCAAATGATTTGTGACAAATTTCACATTCGAAGGGTTTGCTCTGATTATGTACTGTATTTATGTGAGATCCAAGATGATGTTTTAGTCCAAACAACTTGTGACAAATCTCACACTCGAAGGGTTTACGATGATCATGTACTGCCATCGTACGACCTTCGAGTTTATTCAGGTTCTGTGATGATTTTTGGTAAATTTCACTTTCATATTGACAGTTATTATCATAGTCGAATCCTTTTTGTATCAAAATTATCAGTTCTTTATCGATTGAGTAATTAGTCTGAATTTGTTCTTCTATTTTCACAACTGGAAGATAACTTTGATATTCAAATTTGCAATTGTGTTTTGATAGAAACTTTGGCTCAAATTTAACATCTTTGCACTCAAGATCTATGTATATTTTTCCACTTTACCTCTCTTGTAACGTTACAGAATCATTCAAATCATTTGCCTGAAATTAATATTGTGTAAGTTTTTACTAGTTAAAAAACGGAATATCATTTATATGATTAAAGCTCACTGGTGATTGATCGAGTTGGAATGTTTTAAAGTTTTTGACGTCACAAGGGTCCACCGAATCGAAAATGTAATCTACGCCTGCATCTGCCCAAGAATTGTCCAGCTCTTCTTTTACCCTAAAGAATGATAAAGTTTTATGGAGGGATCACTTTGATAAATATGATGGCGTGCACAAAAAATTAGTAAGTACCTAACTGTGTCCTCTCTGCTTTCCATGACTCACTTGATTATATGTATTTTCACTGTAAATTTTGAGAAAATATTCGAATACTATGAAAGTATTTGAGGTTATCCGCTTCGAGTCAAAACAACCAACACTGTTCCACGATTTTACCAATTTGTAAATACTTGCTCACTGAATAATTTAGCACGTTGCCAGCGACTGTGATGTATGCACTACTCGTATTTTAGTGAGGTGACCCCGTGATTGTGATGTGTGATCACTGCTCGATGATACTTTCTCTCTTTACTGTCGACTGATCATACGCAGGTCAAACATAGAGGCCTTCCCAGTTGAAAAAAATTGCGTGGATATCCACGTGGATTATCCACGCTGATTCCACGTGGATCATACAGGGATTCCTTGAGGATGGGACATTGATTCCACGTGGATCGAACATGGATCATTTAAAGAGTCCACGTACGTAAACCACGGGGATCTGCACGGAAATACTCGTTGATTTTCGATCGATCCACGGGGATCTTCGCGCAAATCCTCGTTGATTTTCGAGCGCGTGCCCGCGAACAAGTTCCACATCCACGAGGATTGAAAAAAAATCAGCGTGGATCAGTCGAATATCCGTGGTGATTGCATTTTTTTCAGCCCATGATCGATCCACGAGGAATCAATGTCCCATCGTCAAAAAATCCCTGTATGGTCCACGAGGATTACTAATCCTCATGGATTTCCACGTGGATATCCATGCAATTTTTTTCAACTGGGTTCACATGTCATTACATTGAAATTTCAATAAAAGTTAGATTAATACACAAAGTTTTCGAAAAAATAATAAACTTTGCGAAAGAATCTAAATTATAGAAAACCCGTATTTCATTTTCATGATGTAACTTTTAAAATATTAAACAAATCCTAATAGTCTGGGCGCTGGTAACATTTGAGCGAACTTGCGAGATCCCCTCGGCGAGTTGACGGGTTTCTATGTTTTTTGGGTCGCTGAAACCGAATTTGAATGTCGCCAGGCCGAATTCCTGGTCAATTTTTTGTTATAAACAAATTAATTGTTTAAACAGCTATATCTTGTAAAATATTGAAGAAAGATCGGCTCATACCGCCATATCTCGATTTTTGAAATTTTCAATAATTTTTTCTGAAGGCCTGAAGCACTCAAAAAATCTGAAAAAATTCAAGGTTGTTGGGATTGTTGAAAAGTATTTTTATGATTTTTTTCAGATTTTTTAATTACTTCATGTCCTCAGAAAAAATGTAGATTGAAAATGGACGTTTATACCGGAAGTGGGAGGTAGGAGGGGGGAGGGGGTCTAAAATTTGGTTTTTGGGACCTTTTTACCATGTACTATAACATACCAAAAGCGATATTCTGACCCATATGTAAACAAACTTATTCTACGACAGCATAAGACTGAATTAAAATGAAAATCATTCGTTATTGAATTC